TAGATAGATAGATAGATAGATAGATAGATAAATAGATAGATATGGTCCTCTCTGGTAACTGAAGACATTTTGTTGAAACCAAATGGCTTTGTTATCTATCTTTTTTACTCATATATATATAATTTGTATTAAAAGTTTTAAGAGCAATAATAAGAACTAATACCAACTAAATTAGAGCAGAGAAAACGAAAAAGAGAGAAATAACAGAAGCTAAAAGTGCAAAAAGAAAATAGAAAAAAAGAGAAAGTTATAAATAAAGATGTAACGGTATAAAGAAGTAGCTTCCAATATTCTTCACAGCGGTTATAAGTCCAATTATATTTTAACCTCCCTCTCTAAAATTGACATCATGACTCTCTTCTTTCTATAATCTATCCTGCCTAATCATGAAAACCGTAAATCACAAGTTGTTGTTTTTTTTCATTTTTAGGCAAAAAGTCCATAACGGGTGGCTTTGTTATATATCTTAATGAGTACTCACGTTCAATTTTAGTTTCATTAAGTACATATCAAGGGGCAATGGTATTGTGGAAACTTTAGGAAGTTTCCTTGGAGCAAGAACCTCCAATACCCTGTTTTTAAATCCTGCATTATTTGAATTCAACAAGAATTCTGGGGCGAAGCCAAAAGTTTGCCTAGAATTGGTTAAACAAGTGCAAGAGGAAGTGGAAATTTTCATTTGCTCCAAAAAGCCCAACTTGGCAAGTTGGGATTCAGGGAGATATATCACATTTTTCTGTTTTTGAAGACGGTGATAAACCTGCAGAAATGTCAAAGTAGTCTATACTGGATTCTGTACCTGCCAGCTTAAAGATTTGGACCCCCCCCCAAGCTTCTGGGTCACCATCCTAGAAGTTGATGGGGGCGGGCACTCAACAAACTACAAGAACATCTGATCTAATATTTCAAAAGGAATCCTACATTTAGGAGGACTGAGAAAATTTGAGGGGAGGACCCTGCCTAGCTATAGGCATTGTTTGTGATGAGGTTATGGTAGTGTTAGCCTAGCCTCAAAATTGCCTTTTTCTGCTATAGAGCTCTGCCTCAGCCCACCCCCAGCTAGAGCTCTATTTCATCCCCGCTTTTTTTCCTGTCCAGGGTTGGGTCCGCTCAGTCCGGGCTCAGAAAGGGGCTTTGTTTCTCCATGTCAGCGATGGCTCCTCGTTGGAGTATCTCCAGGTGGTGGCCGACCCACATTTGGAGTCCAGGTTGGTTCATCTTCTCTGGCTGGTTGAATGGGGCAGAGGGGTGGGCCTGTACCACCTTAGGCTGCAGCAAGAAGGTGGTTGTCAAAGGTTTTCCCCAGGGTGTAAAGCAGGTGATGTGTTCTCTCCCCTCCGTCTTCGTGCCTCCAGGCTGAACATCTCACGTCCCTTCAGCCTGTCCTCACAGAGATGTCCTTCAGCCCCTGTGACATCTCTGTCCCCCTTCTCTGGACCATCTCTAACCAGTCACTATCCTTCTAGAAACATACTACTCAGAATTGTAGGCAGCACTTCAGTTATGGCCTCACCAGTGCAGAGGGGAGGAGAACAAGGCCTTTATGCGTCTTTGATGCAACCCTTCTTCTGATGCCTCCAGAAATACGTTGGCCGTTTTAGCAGCTGTTTCACCCTGCTGTCTCATATTCAGCTTGTGGTCAGGTCCACCCCGTGTCCTTGTCCAACATAATGCCTCCAGAAATACGTTGGCCGTTTTAGCAGCTGTTTCACCCTGCTGTCTCATATTCAGCTTGTGGTCAGGTCCACCCCGTGTCCTTGTCCAACATAA